CAGTCAGCTCTCTCCAAGATCATTCTGTGTTCCCATTATACTTGATTTGTAAATACATGTCTATGATTTTACAAAAAGGACTTTATCTTCTTGCCGGAGTTTAATGTTGTTTTGTTACTTGCTACTGGGTGTCTGTGAGAACAAAACACAGGCATAGAAAATACTATCAATTGTTTTTAACGTGCACAGTAACTGAAATTGAAAACTGTTCAAAAAAAGAAAGGCTCAATAACTGTTGCACAGATATAATACACTACGCATCAATTTCTCTTCCCTTTGTGCGTTGCACTTTTTAACACGAAGCGCTTAATGTACGCACATTGTAAGAGCTTCGTGCTCATAGACTGTCAACCCTCTACATTGCGAGTAAATCACTCGCATATGCGACTAAATCTTCACTCTGGGCGACTAAAAAAACTTCACTGGTATCGGATCGGAATCGGTATCGGCCAATACTGAACCCTAGGTATCGGAATCGGTATCGGAAGCGAAAAAGGCGGATCGGAGGATCCCTAATAAATAGTACATTACAGTTAAAAGTGCGCTGTAAAGGTCTGGTATAGAATGTTTTTGCTCAGGTGGCCGAAATGTCCATCCAACAGAGAAAAGTTTTGCTCAGCAAGAAAAACTAAATTAGAGGGAACATTGCTCACCGCTTGCAAATGGACATTACCAACCCATATGCTGCCAAAAAACATCTGATACACTACACAGAGTTACACTCACAGTGCAAGTGAACTGATTTTTTCATGTTTATTTCCAACAAAGTGTCAAATAGCATCATGATAATGGTGTGTCAAAAATTTGACTCAAAGTTTCCATGAATTCTTGATGTGTGGTCACACGTTCTTCTTCATTAGGCAGCAATAACGATAACACCCAAAACACGGCCGATAACATCAACTCATTTCCTTACACTGCCTCTCTCTTCCTCTACCACTAAACTAATGTAGAAATGATGAACAACAGACCTAAGCTGAAGACACTCAGTATCTTCAAACTCAGCACCTCAACACACTAAATTCCCTCATGTTTCTAAAGGAAGGGGTTTCACACAGAGAGACTCTTCTTTCCTTCTTGTTTCAAATAGAACATCAATTCCAGTTCTATTCTTCCTTTTTGGTCACTCATGTTGCAGATTTCCAATAAATCATCAATATCTCACGCTGAACATCTCATACCCTAAAGCCAAAAGCATCAAATAAACTAGAGCCATCTTGTCTGGAGATACGTGACCAAATATGAGAAGCTTACAAAACAAACAAAGTATGAGAGCCATAGAGACAAGTATATACTTACTGGTGGAGTTCCCTTGCATCTGTATAATGCATTTTGATTCTTTGCTGGTCTCTCTTGAGTTGAAGGGCCGCACTCTGACAGCCACTTTCACGGAGGCGCCAGACATGGTTGAAGCGGTTGTGATTCAATCCCACAGAATGTTCTCCTACAAAAAGAAACAGAATGGGTTTCTATTCCAGTGCCCCAATCATTAGGCTAAAGGTACAAGAACACATTTGACAGAAGTTACCCAGAAACATCTCATCAGATTCCATTGAGTAAACTAGACCTCCAAAGAGATCTGAATTGACCATAACATCATTTATGCAATGACGCTAGAGGTTATGTGGCATTTGAGAAGATTTTCTTAAATTACAGCATGCCAAAAATAAACATAAAAGAAAAAGATGACGCAGGGTTCCCACAGCTTTTCACCAATGATATTCCATGGCTACTACATCATAATCGATACATGAATGTCTGAGGCCTCTAAATTATCAACATGATCAAAACCAGTTGACAATTTTCTACATGCCCTCTGATTGATGGTCCATACTTTTTTTTTTTTTTAGCAAGTATCAGTTATAATAATAAAACTCTACAACTCTACTCTTTCTCCTGCAAAAACTTTGTTAAAAATTATGAAATAAACTTAAGCATAACTTAAATATTATTTTTTCAAGATGAACAGGCTTTTGTAGGACGTTTATGTGTACATCTCTCAATTATCATTGTATTGCATTGCATTATATGTTTTGCCCCCACAATAAAAACTAGTGGTTTAAACATAAAACTAAACATTTAAATGTCATCTTACTATTATTTGGAGATATAGAGTGACAATTGATATTTATATGCACATTTTTTGTAAGTGGTCTGTTATACTGTCATAGAACTCTCATTTATTTACACAGCAAGATATCAGAATTTCATCTTACTTTTGGGCTTTATAAATACCATCTGCAACAAACTGCATAATTTGCTCAGTTTGGTCCACTGAATTAAATTGATGTGCTTTTGTCCTCCATGTTCTCACTATATCATACTATATGGGATACTTAAGCCTGATGCATCAAATATGTTACAGAACAGAACATTTTTAGATATTCTTTTATATTTTGTGTAAATGTTCAATAACCAGGCTATACAAATTCCAAATATTTTTTAGTTTTCCATGATTGTAGGAATGATGATTACATAATAAAAATAATTCATCAGTAACATCAGTACAGTTAATATATTTGGGCAGGTGACATGACATTTCAAGCAGTTTCAGCAAAATGCTTGTTAGCAAAATCATGTACAACATAGAATATCCATACTATAAAAAATATTTCCATCAAAGGACCATTTAAAGTGCTATAACAGAATGTTTAACTAGTAAAAATGTGATTAAAATGTCAAAGAAAGAAAGAAATGTTGTCACAGGACCAAGATATACACTTTCCCTATATGTAAATATTTAACCAATCTTAATATTTAATATAAAAATGTCCATGAGCTTGTCTGTTATATGTCAACAGCACATTTACCATATCAAATGTCCGGTGGTCAAGAGCAATAGCATAATATGCAGGTAAATATCCAACACACAGTTACAGATGATCAGGAACATTAGATGGTTCCCTCACGGACTCATAAACATGGCTGCCGTTCGCCTGCAGCAGCAGCAGGGCTGGGCCTATTCACACGCTCACTACACAAGTAAACACATCTGACTAAATGACACCCGACCGTTATGACATATCAAAACGCATGCATTGACACATTACGCCTGTCTGTTCCTGTTGAAATGTATGTATAACTTATGGGCGTGACATCTGTTATTAAGCATTGGTTTTATCGACCGGCTGTGGATTACAACGAATCTGACAATGCAGCAATTATTTTTGAAGTTCAAGTCTCTTGAGTATGACAGAACAATGAACAGTCCGCTTTTCAATAACATGACACCAAAAAAAGATGTTTTAATCCTTGCCCTTGTAGTCGTTCACTGAATTAAAGGCATACGCCCATGAAATTCAATCGGCCGGAGAAAACATAAGTATGCCTACTTCAGGAAGGAAAAAGAACACTTACTCTTCCATCTATTTTTATAGATTTTATAGCTAATGACACTAAAACAACAAAACGTGTATCTGTTTCAGTGTTTAATAAAGGAGACTAGATATTGACAACATATCAGGCGTTGCCATAGCTGTACTGTCATAATGGTCTGCTACAGAGATAAAACTAATCAAAACGTTTAATTAATATTAAAAAAAACATCTCAAGTGTTACAGTGTAATCTTATGATGTCGCCTCCTTTATTGATCTCACGAAACCATGTCCGATTTGAGAACAAATCGTTCTTTTGAATCGGATCTGTACTGGGAACCGGTTCTCCAACCGGTATGAACGACTCTGTCACGAGTACAATCGGTCCGAGCGGTTCTGGAGTCAAAAATCACGCACTGACTGAGTCAACCCAGAATGGTTTTTATTTCACTTAATCCGTAAACAGCCGAGAATGACGACTGAGATGACAGTACGAAAGTAAATCGAGTTTACAAACCACTGAATCGGTCTGAGCCGGTGCTGTTCAAAAGAACCGATTCGCGGAAATGTGCCGAACTTCCCATCACTAATTCGGACGTCTTTCTATGAACTCGGCGACTTTCTTTGCATAGTCCTCATATGGTTTTGTCATTTTTAACATTTATTTTCGATTATCAATAAAAAATAATAACATTAAGTGTATAATACCACAATTAAGTTTAAGGTCAGCTGCAAAAACAATCGAAACCTTTCGGTAAACATCCATTCGCATTCCCAAACGCGACTCGAGAGATGTATGCTCAGACTCAAACGTACAAATATTACAATCATATTTCGGAAAAGACGGCACTTACTGCTATATATCCACAAGTAGAAACGACTAGAACAGCATAGAAATCCCGCACGATGCCAATTCTCCAATGACGTCTACAACCAGCAGCAAAAATCAAAAAAGATTGACGGTTAAGTTTCCAATAGTTCCTTTGTTGTTATATACACCCATTATAGCTGCGTCTCATTCTCCAGCGCCGCGCAAGATGCTTGCGTTTCTGATAGATTTAGTTAGGCTGCTGCTGGTGTGGTTGGACCGTTCCTCTAGCAGGCTTAGGTATGGATGAATGCCTTGATTTACTGAAATGATTACGTCAACTGCCTTGTCAACGTCGTGAATGACGGGCCGTCTGGCCAATAAGAATGAAGTATTGTGTGAGCGATGCGTCGTGTAGCCAATGAGAATGCTGGAAAAACTAAGGTGGGCTAGGCAGCTGTGACGCAACACTGCAGGGTCGCGTACGATCCGCTGTGGCGTGGCATCGGACAACAAAAAAGGGAAGAGCGCCGCCTAGCAGAAACATGGATAAAACAATTTAAGCGCTAAATGAACAAAAAGATGCGATCGTGCCAATGTTCTTTCAAAATGTAATTGTACTAATTAACTTCTGTTCTAAAATAGTCGTGAGACTTGAATCCTCTCAAAATACACAACACAATATAAAAAGGTCATTTACTGAGAGCAATTAATTAAAATAGAAGCTGCTTCATCATGTACCACATTTAAAATGTTTTCTATCACTGGCACATAATACGCTTTATTTTTTTGTTTTTCATTTAAATGTTAAGTTTTGAAAATTTTGTTGTATGCATTTGTAATTTTTTTTTAATCTCTTGAAATGCAACAGCTATCATTGTGTGTGCATTACCATTTATTACAGTTCAAAGAGCTGGGTCCAAAAGAAGTTTGTAGCAAAGGAAGCAAATTCCTGTACAGATAAACCCTTTAAGTCACTGGAAAAACTCTTACATCCAACAACTGGGGTTAATAGTAATAACACGTAATGACGAACCTTTTGGATCCAAAAAAATGTTGGAGAACAGAACAAAAACATGATGTACTGGCATTTTTATGACGATCATGTTACAACACAGCATCACATTCTTTGATTTGATCCTGGGTTTGAGCTCCGATTCAGATTTTAGTCACACCGTGTACATATGAGATTTCTATGCAAACCAACAAAATTCTAATACAGTCAATCACCATCTGATGCTCCACTGGCAAGTGTCCATCAATTTACACCAATATCTATTGTATTTTCTACAAGACAGTCTAGAGCTTGTTAATTTGATTAGTTAAAATGTGTTGTATTCCTCCAACCATATAAAATAAACTGACTGAATGGTAAACTGCATGTCTACAGCCAATGTTTTGTGGGGGGAAAAAAAAGTAAATACTGGTGTTACTTAACATTCTTCACAAACATGAAATGGATCCCCTTCCTCAATGTTTTCTCTTACCATGAGATCCATTAAATGCATCCGTGAGGACAACAAAAACACAATGGGAAGCAATTTCTTTATATATCCAAATTTGTTAACTTTGGGGAGTAAAACTGTGTGCTCATTCAGCTTGGTATGTATGTGCAGACATACAAATTCAAAATGTTTCAAAAGTCTAAACTTTATTATGTTTCAATTTAGAACCATGAGCCTTTCAGACAGTGGCTCGATAAAGAGGATAAAGGGAGGAAAACAATTTGGGTACTGTCATCTTTTATTTCTCCTCTCTCTTCAGTTCACTTCCAGCTTGGTGAAAACATTTAAACTGCAGGGCAAGCTTGGCTCACTGAGAAAACTCAAACACGGCCACTCTGCTTCTCTCTCATCCAGGCCTGGATACGCTCCTTCAGCTCTGGGACTGTGGAGAGAGGGAAAAGTATGGAGTCAGCGTTACACAGTCTAACAATTATTAAAAATAAATTAAAAAAAAGACAAGTCACAAAGTGCATTTGGCAGCAGCGCTGAAAGTAGCAGCTCGTGTGGTCTTTGTAAAGCAGTGTGGTGGGTACCTGGTTCCAGCATGCTCTCGGTGAGAGGCTGTCTGTTGAAGGGGTCAGTGGGAGAGTTCAGGAGGTGTCGCAGAATGATGGCTCGATCCATGATGTTGCCAGAAGGAAGTTGCACGGGATCAGTCATGAGAGTGTCCATCAGCGGGTCTGTTTAGATAGGATGTCAATGTTAATTGCTCCAATCAACTATTACATTTGTAGCTACACTTCATTTTTTTTGTTATTAGGGTTGTTTTTAAGAAATTAACACTTTTTACTTGCAAGGATGCATGTGATCATTGCCATCACATGAATAAATTACATTTGAAAATATATTCAAATAAAAAACAGCTCATTTAAAAAAGAAAGCTCATTTTTACTTTCTTTTAATCAAATAAATGCAGCTTTGCTGAGCATAAGAGACTTCTTTCAAAAACAAAAAAACGTATCAATAATATACATCAAATATGATGTAAAACAACTTGATGACTCTCACCTTTAAACTCATCTGGGGCATCACTGTAATCCATCTCAGACTGAGAATTGCGGGCTACTATCTCCTCTACCTTTTCCAACAGAAGTTTGAATTTCTCAATAGCAATGGTGGATTTTATGCCCGCTTTTCTCATTTTTGAAATGACCTCCTCAAACAGCTCCCTGCTGTATGACCGCTAAAAGTGAGAGAGAGAGGAAAAAAAAAAAAAGTTATCCACATTTTTCTTGCAATACAGTTAAGCACCAAACTACATTTGCCGTCTAGCCACCGAAGATCACGGTGAGCAGATACAGACCTGGTCATCTGCAATGGCTTTAGCAAACCGTGCACAGTCCAGCTGCAGATAAATGTCAGTGAGCTGATCCAGGAGCTTCTTTGGCTCAAAACCATATTTTTCTGGGTTTTCCACCTTCAAGTCTCGACATTTAGGCCCACATAGCTGCTGCAGGTTATAATTCAACATGGCAGCCAGACGAGGACCCAGTTCCTGTTCAATACAACAGAATATACATGAGTCATCATAAGACATTTTATCATTTTTGTGCATTTTCAACAGAACCTACAAATATAGTATTTGCTCTATTAGTGTCATTAAAAGTGCCCTTTCTCACACCTCCTCTGAATAAAGTCAATGTTCTAACCCTGGCAGCAGCTCAATTTTCCCTGAAGACTATAAATACCTGCAGAGAGCAGAGCGCAGGAGATTAATTTACTGCAAGCAGCAGATTACAGTGCTCATGCTTTTTTCCTATTAACCAAAGCTGAATTAATTAGACTTTGTTACGCTCTACCTCTTTTGTAGGTGCTTCCTAAAGTGGATCTGTTTGTTGTCTGTTGAAATGTTTCTTAAGTTATATTTCTATGACTGTCTGCTTATATAGCTTTATTAAACAGCTTCTACTCATATAACAACCTGTTAAGCTGTTCATACACTACCGTTCAGAAGTTTGGAGTCAGAAATGTAAAAAATAAAAATAAAATTCAGCATTAAATTGATTTTGATTTCAATTAAATGCTGTTTTTTAAACTTTCCATTCATCAAAGAGTCCTGAAAGAAAAATGTATCACAGTTTTCCCCGAAAAATATAAAGCATTACTAATGTTTTCAGCATTGCTAATAACAAGAGATGTTTCATAACAGCATATCAGAATGATTTCTGTGCAAGGATGCATGTGATCATTGCCATCACATGAATAAATTACATTTGAAAATATATTCAAATAAAAAACAGCTCATTTAAAAAAGAAAGCTCATTTTTACTTTCTTTTAATCAAATAAATGCAGCTTTGCTGAGCATAAGAGACTTCTTCCAAAACAAAAAAACGTATCAAACCCCAAACCTGAGCAGTAGTGTATGACTAAAAATATGATGTAAAACAACTTGATGACTCTCACCTTTAAACTCATCTGGGGCATCACTGTAATCCATCTCAGACTGAGAATTTCGGGCTACTATTTCCTCCACCTTCTCCAACAGCAGTTTGAATTTCTCAATAGCAATGGTGGATTTTATGCCCGCTTTTCTCATTTTTGAAATGACCTCCTCAAACAGCTCCCTGCTGTATGACCGCTAAAAGTGAGAGAGAGAGGAAAAAAAAAAAGTTATCCACATATTTTTCTTGCAATACAGTTAAGCACCAAACTACATTTGCCGTCTAGCCACCGAAGATCACGGTGAGCAGATACAGACCTGGTCATCTGCAATGGCTTTAGCAAACCGTGCACAGTCCAGCTGCAGATAAATGTCAGTGAGCTGATCCAGGAGCTTCTTTGGCTCAAAACCATATTTTTCTGGGTTTTCCACCTTCAAGTCTCGACATTTAGGCCCACATAGCTGCTGCAGGTTATAATTCAACATGGCAGCCAGACGAGGACCCAGTTCCTGTTCAATACAACAGAATATACATGAGTCATCATAAGACATTTTATAATTTTTGTGCATTTTCAACAGAACCTACAAATATAGTATTTGCTCTATTAGTGTCATTAAAAGTGCCCTTTCTCACACCTCCTCTGAATAAAGTCAATGTTCTAACCCTGGCAGCAGCTCAATTTTCCCTGAAGACTATAAATACCTGCAGAGAGCAGAGCGCAGGAGATTAATTTACTGCAAGCAGCAGATTACAGTGCCCATGCTTTTTTCCTATTAACCAAAGCTGAATTAATTAGACTTTGTTACGCTCTACCTCTTTTGTAGGTGCTTCCTAAAGTGGATCTGTTTGTTGTCTGTTGAAATGTTTCTTAAGTTATATTTCTATGACTGTCTGCTTATATAGCTTTATTAAACAGCTTCTACTCATATAACAACCTGTTAAGCTGTTCATACACTACCGTTCAGAAGTTTGGAGTCAGAAATGTAAAAAATAAAAATAAAATTCAGCATTAAATTGATTTTGATTTCAATTAAATGCTGTTTTTTAAACTTTCCATTCATCAAAGAGTCCTGAAAGAAAAATGTATCACAGTTTTCCCCGAAAAATATAAAGCATTACTAATGTTTTCAGCATTGCTAATAACAAGAGATGTTTCATAACAGCATATCAGAATGATTTCTGAAGAATTATGTGACACTGAAGACTGGAGTAATGGCTGCTGAAAATGCCATTACATTAAAATAGAAAACAATATTACTGTTTTACTGCATTTTTGATCAAATAAATGCAGCCTTGGTGAGCATAAGAGACTTTTTTAGAAAAAATCTTACCGTCCCCAAAATTTTTTATGTCATGGCGTGTTTTTACAGCATGCAGGAGTGTAACATGTTTCCATACTTACAGGCCTGAGGAAGGGCTTCTGGACCTGTTTGGTGAGGATATGGAACATATCCACTGTCTCTGTGGCTAAAGCCAGGTACGATCGTGATACTCTCTCATCCTGAGTCAGCTGGGACTGTCGGCTCTGCTGCTGATCCTGAGGATCAAGACGTTTCACGTGAAATTAGATGTGATTGGAACTGGAAAACAAAAAGTGTCAATGCAAGTAGAAACATTGCTGTACAACCATTCCCTTTAAAGTAATATTACATATGTGTTCGGAGTTTGTCACCACAGAAAAATGTGTTATTAAACACCCAGACAAATTTGAATGATAAGAAAAAACGGCAATAAAATAAATGATCAATTTTGAAAAAATAAGCAGTACTTTCTGCTCTCAAACGCTGGGGGCGTGTCTGCATTGAACCCACGCCCGCTCGCGGGAAAGCTGCCGCCTCTCTCAACTGTCATACAAATAATTTTAAATAAGGAGACTGAGCTGTTTTGTAAATTACCGCATCCAGGTAATATGCATTTACGTGACGAAGGCATAGCTAGCTAGGAAACTGTAGGCTGTAGTAACTAACGGTAATGACAGTGTTGAAACACTGATGCTAATGCACTCTAGTTATTAGTTGTGTTCGCCTTGAATCGGCACTGCACAGAACAATCAGTAGCTATATGTTTCCATCACCCAGTTTTTATGCGCATTTTGAAGTATCGCATCAGAAAAGAGTGATGAAAACGGCCAATTTCGAAAAACAATCCCTTAATTGGTAAAAATAGTTTTTATGCTCACTTGAGGTGGTTGTTGACTTGTGCGAAAAATTCCTCTATGCGCATCAAAAGTCATGTGACTTTGCGCTATGGGACGACATAACCTGACTAAAACCAGCGGACTGATCTCATTGCACAGCATCTGAAATGTTATGATCATTCTTAAATGCCCGGCATGCAGGAGTGTAACATGTTTCCATACTTACAGGCCTGAGGAAGGGCTTCTGGACCTGTTTGGTGAGGATATGGAACATATCCACTGTCTCTGTGGCTAAAGCCAGGTACGATCGTGATACTCTCTCATCCTGAGTCAGCTGGGACTGTCGGCTCTGCTGCTGATCCTGAGGATCAAGACGTTTCACGTGAAATTAGATGTGATTGGAACTGGAAAACAAAAAGTGTCAATGCAAGTAGAAACATTGCTGTACAACCATTCCCTTTAAAGTCCGTGTAAAGTAATATTACATATGTGTTCGGAGTTTGTCACACCACAGAAAAATGTGTTATTAAACACCCAGACAAATTTGAATGATAAGAAAAAACGGCAATAAAATAAATGATCAATTTTGAAAAAATAAGCAGTACTTTCTGCTCTCAAACGCTGGGGGCGTGGGTTCAATGTAGACACGCCCCCCGCGGGAAAGCTGCCGCCTCTCTCAACTGTCATACAAATAATTTTAAATAAGGAGACTGAGCTGTTTTGTAAATTACCGCATCCAGGTAATATGCAATATGCTAGGAAACTGTAGGCTGCAGTAACTAACGGTAATGACGGTGTTGAAACACTGATGCTAATGCACTCTAGTTATTAGTTGTGTTCGACTTGAATCGGCACTGCACAGAACAATCAGTAGCTATATGTTTCCATCATCCAGTTTTTATGCGCATTTTGAAGTATCGCATCAGAAAAGAGTGATGAAAACGGCCAATTTCGAAAAACAATCCCTTAATTGGTAAAAATAGTTTTAATGCTCACTTGAGGTGGTTGTTGACTTGTGCGAAAAATTCCTCTATGCGCATCAAAAGTCATGTGACTTTGCGCTATGGGACGACATAACCTGACTAAAACCAGCGGACCGATCTCGTTGCACAGCATCTGAAATGTTATGATCATTCTTAAATGCCCATGCAAAATCTTTCGTCAAAGTGTTTCTGTATAATTGCATCCCAGAACTTCCTAAACAGAAGGCATCCACCTCCGAAAGCAATGACTGCATTTATTGTGTTTCGTCGGCTCGCTCGAGGCGCAAGTAATTTATTATATATGAAAATTATTATATTCAGTGGCTTCTCCTACTTTTCTTAGTGATATTTAGTGCCAGATGATTTTGTTCTCTTTGACTTGTCCGATGGAAACGGTGATTATTTGCACGTTTTATGCAATATTCCAATTTTGCGTACAAGTTAAAATCGCAACTTTGGATGGAAACCTGGCTAGTGTATGATATTAAAGTACAGCGAAAGCGATTCAGACACATAAGGAGCATCTGCTCTCTTATCGCTCTCGCGGTACTTTGATGCCATACACCAGGGTTCCTCAAATCTTGTCCTGTAAGTCCAATGCGCTGCAGAGTTTAGCTCCAACCCTGATCAAACTCAGCTACCTGTGATTTTCCAATGATCCTGAAGACATTGATTAGCATGCTCAGGTGTGTTTGATTAGGGTTAGAGCTAAACTCTGCAGGAAAGTGGATCTCGTGGGCCAGATTTGAGGATCCCTGCCATACACCGACTGGTCTGCGCTGCGCCACTTCAAGCCGAACACACCTATTATATAGTGTTAGGGGAGGGGCCATGCTCCGTGGCTCCAGTGCGTCATCAAGACATGATTTCAGGCCCGCCCAAAAAAATCTTGAACACAAAATTGGTGAAAAACTGTTTAACGGTCTAACTCCACATTACAGTACTACATAGTTCACAGTCTTTGTAATGCGTTTTCAGCAATACGTTTCTAACATTTATAATGTGTTTAGAAACAATTCTCTGAATTGCCTTTACAGAGACTTTAAAAGTCACTCCCCTTCCTTTTAGCCTTAAAGCTAATGCTTTTCCCCTGGCACATTAGTGCATTATATCCATTACAATGCAGATAAAAGGTTAGGTAACTGAATTATTGGTAAAGTTGTGATATGTGCTGACCCTGGGCAGCTGGTCCCATTGCTCTTTATTCTTCATCTCCTCCTGGATCTCATGGATGCGTTTCAGAGACTCCAAACTCTCGTCCAGCAGAAAAGTTGTATCGTTAATTAGCATGTTGATGTAGCGCACAAACTGTTTACCAGAGCTGCAGAATGAATACGAGACAGAGGAAAAGGGTATGATTAATATACGTGTAAAATAAATATAAACATTTAACAAAAATATTACACAATCAAATAAATGTAAAAAAAAAAATTTGACAATAATAAAAAATTCAGAAAAGTTGTATCGTTAATTAGCATGTTGATGTAGCGCACAAACTGTTTACCAGAGCTGCAGAATGAATACGAGACAGAGGAAAAAGGTATGATTAATATACGTGTAAAATAAATATAAACATTTAACAAAAATATTACACAAACAATCAAATAAATGTAAAAAAAAAATTTGACAATAATACAAAATGTAATTGTTATATTTATATATATTTTGTATTTTTCAAATTAGTGTTCAATCGTTATTGAGTCATTCGAGTTTTTCATTAGCTGTTATATTATGCTGATATATAACATGACTATTTAATTGAAATGTACACAAAATTGCTGAAATAAAATGAATACTTATTTTACACAATATTAACTTAAATCATTTTTTTAATTGCAAACAAAAAGAGTTTTTCATTCATTATCAAACATTTTTCAAATTAGTGTTCAATCGTTATTGAGTCATTCGAGTTTTTCATTAGCTGTTATATTATGCTGATATATAACATGACTATTTAATTGAAATGTACACAAAATTGCTGAAATAAAATGAATACTTATTTTACACAATATTAACTTAAATAATTTTTTTTAATTGCAAACAAAAAGAGTTTTTCATTCATTATCAAATTTCTGTCACTTAATCGGCCTGGGTGATACATCCTCAGTCTATAACTATTTCAAATTTCACGCAAAACAGTGAACTCACTTGAACTCCTCCAGGAAGGTGCCTTGGTGGTTAATGTTTTGCCATAGGCTTTTGAATATGGTGCTGATGTGATAACGGATGGTGAACTTGTCATAGAACTCGCTTGTGGCTCCAGTGTGCTCCACATCTAAGAAAACACATCCATTTAGCATTAACAAATCAAACTGCATAGAACAGACTTTAAAAAGTATATTTTAGAACTCTTTTCACCGGTGTAAAACTTCATGAGAGCTGGCACAAGCTGATTGATAGACACTGGGTGGTTCTCCATCATCTCAAAGAATCGCTGAGTGCGCGGCTGCACTGCAGGATTGGTGACAAACAGCACCTCCACCAGCTTGGCGATCAAGTATGGGTTCTTTATGTAATTCTGACTGCAAATGAAGACCACCAGAAAGTTCACAATGTCTTCAGTGCACGGCTCATAGAGAACCTGTGGAAAGTACCTGAGAAACAAAAGTCCAATTTTACTAAATTTGGATTCTAACAATATAAATGTGCAGATTTCAGCAATCTCATACACTTACTGCACAATAAAAAGCAAGAACTCGGCCACATCTTCAATGTAAAACTCTGGCAGTGCTGCAAAACTTTTGGGGATTTCTGGGTTCAGAGGCAGGGTTACGCTGTAAGGTGATAAAAGACAGGAAATCAGAACAGAACAAAGTCTTGACTACAATTTGGCTAAAAGAATGTAAGGGGCATCTGAAGAGATGTTAAGTGAACTGACCCTGGGTAGGCAGGTTCCACCATACGCAAGATGAGCTGGATGACCATACTGAAGAACTGCAGACATCTGCGCAGCAGGTTCTCATCCAGCAGCCCTGCGTCTGCGCAGGCTTTAGAGCGCACCAGTTTCTGTCAACACACACATTTACTTACTATTTGTTAAATAAATATATTCTAATATATACACAAAGTATACATTTATAACAGTAAATACAACAGTAAGAATAACAGAAGATTATAACAGTTAATGTACATTACCATTCAAACGTTTGAGGTCAGAAAGATTTTTTTAATGTTTTTGAAAGAAGTCTCTTATCAAGTCTCTTACCAAGGCTGAATTTATTTGATTAAAAAATATAGTAAAAAAAAAAAAAAAACTTAGATAGTTTGAAACAGTTCATTTTAATCATTTGATTTCTATTTCAATGTATTTTAAAATTTAATTTATTCATGTGATGGCAAAGATGAATTTTTAGCAGCCATTAATCCAACTGACATGATCCTTCAGAAATCATTCTTATATGCTGATTTGGTGCTCAAGAAACATTTCTTATTATTATTACTATTATTATGTTGAAAAAAAGTTGTGCTGCATAATATTTTTGTAGAAACCATGATACATTTTCCCCAGGATTCTTTGATGAATAGAAATTTCTAAGGAACATCATTTATTTGAAAAAGAGATGATCTTATAAATGTCTTTACCATCACTTTTGATCAATTTACTGCGACCCTGCTGAAAAAAAATATACACATTTCTTTCAAAAGCAAATCTGACTGAGCCCAAACCTTTGAACAAGTATAAGTAAATGCATTGTTCAGTACTTTAACGTGACTAATATAGCCTCTCTGTGCACAGGGCAAAGATCTGACTAATAATTAGGGATGCACCGATACCGGTATCGGGCCCGTAACTGCGCTCCTGTACTCGTAAAAAAGCCCCGATACCAAACAGCGTGTGAATAGAGCTGTGTCCAGAAAAAGAAACACTGAAAATAGAACAACAGAGAGTAGAATGGAGTTATTAGAGATTAAGTGTGTCTTATGCCCATCTAAGTGTTATACCTGCTGTCGACAGCAGGAGTCACTGTGGTTCTGATCTGCCAGGCATCATTAGGCCAATAAACAATGTGAGCTGCCTTCTATGTGAATGTGAATGATTTGAATCACTGCCACTGATGCAGCACTAACACATGAGCTGATAATTCAGGACTAAGATGACTTTAGAGCTGCTCTACAATGGGACTGCAAGTAAATACCTTGCACAAGAGGCACTGGGACAGGACAGGATTACCCCGTCTCATCAGAAAGAGATTAAGGGCTTTTTCACAAAGCATGACAAAAGAACATCAGATCTATGATAGTCTATCTGACATAAGCGATGAGGAATAAAAGATGTTCCACTTTGAGAATCACCTTAACTAGCTAATCTTCTACCTTCATTACTTCTCTACATTTTTGTACTAGTGCAGACTTCACAGTGGACTGTAACTCAACATGGTTTTGGTAACAAACTGCTTGCTTTTACGACTGAATCTGTGCAAAGCACCTGTTCAGATCCCTGATGGCCCTCAGCCTCCGTATGTAGCGCCGACAGCACGGGAGGATGGACAGATGATGTGCGTGTAGCGTTAAGAAGAAGCACTCTGTAGGGAACTTGGGCTCTGAGAACTTGGACGGGTCTTCATCTGTGGAGAAATGGGAGGAATGGGAAATGGGTTGTCCGAGTCAAACTGAGCATCTAAAGCGATTTGTCTGTCCCAGAACAGAGCCCACACTCACGCAGCTCAGTGAGCCAGCTCTTCAGGTCCTCCATCGTGGCATTGAGCCGGGTCTCTTCCGTGCTGACATTCAGCCGACACTTAGGGTGGAAGATGTAGAGAGCATCCACTGTTTCTAGCTTGATCTTCATACTGAGTTGCTGCAGCACCCACAGGAAGTTCATCATGAAGCCGTCTGTGGACACCAGCTTATCATCGGTCTAAAGAAGGAACGGAGGAGAAAATAATCTTAAGGTATTTTTACAGTATTTTTAATTTGGCAATTTTGTCCTGCCTGTTTACATTCACTAAGAAATTGTCAACATTAATATCTCGATAAGATGGCATTTTAAAAGCAGCACATACTTGAGCAGACATACCTGCATTTGAGCCTTCTTCACATTACGATTCACCAGAGCTGCCATGTAGCTCAGAGCCGCTTCCCTTGTCTCTCCGTTCAACAAGATGTTGTGCAGGATTTTAAACAGATCTCCCTGGACAACCAACATTCAGCACACACTCAGAATTACAAAATATTTTTTTTCTTTAAAGATGTCACTAAATCTAATTTCAGCATTCTATATATTTATTTTGGATGGTCATTTGTCGATTTATAATATATATATACACACACATATACACACACACACACACACACATAACCAGTCAAACGTTTGGGATCAGAATGATTTTTAAAGTTTTTTTACAGGAGTTTTTTATGCTCATCAAGGCTGCATTTATTTGATCAAAAATACAGGAAAAAATTTAATATTGTGAAATATTATGTAAAATAACGTTTTTCGATTTTAATATATATTAAAATCTAATTTATTTCTATAATGCAAAGCTGAATTTTCAAAGCATAGTCTTACTGATCCCAAACTTTTGACCAGTAGTGTGTGAATATATATATATTTTAAAAAATATATATTTTATAGATTGATAGATAGCTATACACACACACAGTGATATATGTTTTTTTATCATTTGAAAATGCTGTGATTTATATTCCTAAGCAACTTATATAATGCAATTAACATCAAACACGCAGAATATGCACAAAGCTCACACATTTCGGAATTCGTGGCCTAATGGTTAGAGTCGGACTCGTAACCCAAAGGTTGCGGGTTCGAGTCTCGTACCGGCAGGGATTGCAGGTGGAGGGAGTGAATGTACAGCGCTCTCTCCCACCTTCACGACTGAGGTGCCCTTGAGCAAGGCACCGAACCCCCAACTGCTCCCCGGGCACCGCAGCAAAAAAAAATGGCTCCGGGTGTGTGTTCACAGTGTGTGTGTGTTCACTGCTGTGTGTACACACTTTGGATGGGATAAATGCAGAGCACTAATTCCGAGTATGGGTCACCATACTTGGCCACATGTCACGTCAATCAATCATTTGGATTTTAGCTGAATGAGAGAGGTAGCCCAATGATATGCTCAAGTTTATCTGCATAAACATTTATTTTCAACAATTACACTCAATTTTGACCCGGTGCAACTCATTTTCCAGAAAATACAGTATATATTATAATTTATTTTGATTACAATATTCCAAATATTTCATTATAATTTCTGTGAAGATCTAATGACAACTGGGAAAAGGGAGCTTCTTGTTCCATTAGGGAGGTCATGCTGCCCCATGCTAAATTCTTATCTAAAAGTTGCAACTTAACAATAAATGCACATTCTTAATCCTTCCCCAATCACATGAAATTATAATTTTATAATCATATAAGACCAAAAACTGAAGCAGACAGATAGCCTTCACTTGCACCCCTGCTCTATAAAAGAATATTCCCTCAATATTGGAGCAGCTCATTAAAAATCTAAGAGTATGTGATATGATGGTCGCTCACCCTCGCGGACTCCAGATAATGCTGCAGTGACTGGCTGACCACACGGGTGTTCTCCATAGTGATGGCAGGGCCGGAGAAGAACTTGTCTCCCACTTTAGTCTACAGAATGGCAAAAAGGGCATAAAAATAAAACGCTTTCCTCCCGTGATCATTTATCAATGCTTCACTTTGTATTAGCCTTATTTGTTTAAAGAGTGAAATGACTTACGTCATCCTCAGCAAACACAGAAAGACTGAAGAATGCTCCGAGAAAGGAGAGGCTTTGAATTTCTCTTCCTGTCCCGGGACTGAGAGGGTCAGGACACCACAATGGCAGAGAGGTGATCTAAAAATACACACAGACAGACAATATTAACAGTGAACTGCATAACCTGACAGACTTGAATTCGTAAGCTCCTACAAAACCTACCAAATTGCATACAGGGTGAGTCTTCCCAAACTTGATTTCACAAAGCTCAGCCAAAGCCTGGAAAACAATTAAATTTCAGTCACATACACGAAACAAAAGCCTACGAAGTCTTTCACTGATTCAGAGGAGCAATATGTGTGAAACATGTCTGGAAGATCAGAGATATGTGTTCATATATAAATCAAGGGAGCTTGTTTGGTCCTAACATGCTAATACGGTTTTATTATGCTTTTAAATAAACAGTCTCTTACCATCAGAGGGAACTTGAAGTTGTCACTGTCAAAAGAACATTCTTTTACAGCTAAAGTGAGCCCTTGAAGAATGGGAACGAAGATCTGAAAGAAAAACAATACTGATCAAGCAAAGACAAAAAGTTCCACACCTTTTCTATGAACTAACTTGACTTGGCCATTTTGGAAAGACTTTCAAACAGCTGACCCCAAGGTCATTTTTAGCATTACAATTTAACAATTTGAATAAAATAACTTGAATTTATTTTCAAAAGTATTTTATTCCTCTGATGGCAAAGCTGAATTTTCTGCTTTTTTTATTCCAGTATTTAGTATCAAATCATTCCAATAATATGGTGCTCATGCAACTTTTCTTTTTATTACTAATTTTAACCACTTGATATTTTGTGGAAACCGTGATTGCTTTTTCAAGACTCTGATGAATAAAAAAATTCAAAAGAACATAGTTTATTTGAAATAGAAATCTTGTCAAATAATATTTTTTTTGTATTAATGTATTTACTGTCACTTTTGATCAATTGAATGTATTCTTGCTGAATAAAAGTATCAATTTCTTAACAACCCCAAACATTTGCACTGTAGTGTATCTATATTTTATCATTCAAAAACTAAAACTTTATATTCCTGTGCAATTTTTGCTTATAAAGTGTGCTTGTGCCATCTTTCTTTAAATTAAATGCTGATATTTTAATTCCTTATGTGCAATGTGTATCCAAACTGGAACCACAAAACCTAATGTGGGATAAATAATGTGGAATAAATAATGATTTTTAAATACTGAGCCATTCTTACTAAAAACAAACAAATTAACCATAAATATGTTTAATATAAATGTTTAAAGGGGTCATGAACTGCCTTTTTAAATTTTGTACTGTTCTCTGAGGTCCACTTATAATGTTATCAAGATGTTTACATCAAAAAAACTTGTAAAAAATTTGCAGTAATAGGCTATTTTCTGTCCTCGTTTGACCCCCTTCATCGGAACGCTCTGTTTGAATAGGTGAGGCGGTCAGATTGTAGACTCGGAAGTAAACGCCCACTGCTATGATTGGCTAACAGTTTTGTATGTTTGACAGCTACATTCTTCACAGATGGACGCTGCTGAGATTTAGGTAAAAAATGCATAAATACTCTGTTCATAACAAACTATCTGTAATAACAGACAAAGCAAGAGTGACCAGGTAATAAGAACAGTTACTCACACTCGTGTGGAGCGACATAACTGTCAGATCCAATATAGTCGCCACAGCATCTTTTAGTTTAAATCTTTCTGAAAATCCTGTGTTGAACTACTGTGCTGTGTTTGCAAACGAATCCGCAGTAAAATGAAGTGAACAAAGGACCAAGTTCTTACTGATGCAGTCTGGATCTTCATTAAAAATAAAGTTCATCCCCTCTTTCCTAATGTTGGGATCAGAAGGAAGGCAGTGCAAAGACTGTTTCCACCGCTTGGCACTGCACAGCGTCTTATTGTCTTTGGAGCATCTTTATCATTTGGTTTCATGTAGACCTGCGTTTTCCTTCTCTTATTATTTACACTACATGTGCGAATCAGTGGGCGGAGCTAAACAGACAGTGATGTAGAAGCAGGTGTTGATCATCATCTGCAGATGCGGGGTTTACCCGCTCTATTACGTCATAAAGTGGCACATTCCACAAGCTGTCGTTTTGGCAGATTGGCTTCAATATAAGCTGTTTTCAGACTTACGAGAAAGTTTTGAGTTCTGAAACGTACTGGATATTTTTATAGTGCAATGGCCCTTTTATTTGTCAAAAGATCAAGGGAATTTTGATTTCTCAGTTCATGACCCCATTAATACCATTAGGAGTTTGGTATCAATAATAAAGAACTCTTGAGCTTCAAAAGTAAACTGACGCAGCATGTAGCCTGTCTCCGTAATCTGCTGCAACTCCCACCTGTTTAAACACATCCTCCTCCTGATGAGTCATGCGCACCAACTCCTGGATGAAGCCATACGGAAGGTTCCGGCACAGCATGTAGGGAACCAGCAGGGAGGGCTGTAGAGGGGCCCTAAGAGAGAGAGAGAAAGGGTGCGGCAATCTCATTCAAAATGTATTACGCTCATGTGCATTCAAACTGACAAACCACATCATGCAACAAACTCAAACTAGGTCTGTTTTCACAATATTGGTATGAACTGGAGCTTGATTCTGCTCTTCTTCCCCGCAGGTCTCTTTTCACAGTCTTTGTCTGCATCGTCAACACGAGTACTAGCAGCAGTTGATGTATAATGCTGTAGCCAAGCAACGAATGTGGAGGAGAAAGCTTAACACATACAGAATGAAGCTGCTTCCTGAAGCCAATTTCTGCATAGACCGGCAGCTATTAGAAAAGCTTTACACTTTAAAAGACATTAACATGGTTCACTTGCACAAACGGTGTAGGATTGCAAAATGTAATGAAGCCCATGACACATTTTTTGAAAAAAGGCGAGCACTTGAGTTTGGACAGCAACAAACTGAATTCCAAAGGTCAGAGCTCTAATGTGAAAACGCCTTCAAAAAACCTTAAGAATGCGTTGAGAAAGGTTGCTGTAACTGACCTGGGCTGTGTGAGGGTACCTTGAAGCACTAGTGCAGCATGGGAAATGCACTGGGAACGAATGTTGCTAAGCAGCTGACTGACAGCTGGCTGGCTGCACATCTGAAAAAGAAAAGCATATGAATGTTGCGTCTGAACATAGACCAAATACCCTGAGCTTGAAGCTCAAGGTCAACAACTAAAAGTAAAATGGCTGAATAATGAGAAAAGTTTTTTTTTTCCTGTCATTATAATTATATTGTTTATATTTTTATCAAGAACACCACCACAGAAACACCACACAATTTGGCTTTGACATACAGCCTTATTTAAATTTGTTGCAAAATAAAACAATAAAATAAAATTACAAGTTTATTAAGTTAGTTTACTTCATTTTTACTTAATTATTTTAAGTAACGTATCTATTTCGGACAGACGGCTAATAGTGTTAAAACAGTGTGAAACTGAAACAGGCGCTTCATGAAACAACAAACGCTTCTGGTAGCTTAATTGATTATAATAGGAGCAAATTACTTTTGACGCTCATGTCTAGTTTAAACAGGGTGCTAAATGAGAACAACATGAAAAACTCATGCCAAAGATGGGATTACCCTTGGCTTGACAAGACATGTTTTGTCTTTCACTTTCACCTGCTCAACACCTCCACCTCTGTTCTGACCTACAAACAAATCTGATGAACCGCTAAAGTAATGAGTTATTTTCTTGCATGGCTTGTCATACTGGAACATAATTATATTGCCTGAGTTCCGAATTAATACTGTGGAAACGTGTCCATAATGTTTATCAGCAGCTACCTTTGGGGCCTTCCTCTCTTCCATTCCCACACAGTCAAAACGCTCAATGAGGTAGTTGAGCATCTCCGTCTCTTTACAGGACTCTATGGTAAAGCGGTCACTACCTGAGTCACCAGTCATCCCCCCTCCGGATGCACCCAGGCTAGAGAGAGAGAGAGAGAGAGAGAAAGAGAGAGTTATGAGAGATAAAAACTCCCTTCAATAAAGGAGGTTGTAGAGTGTAAATGAACTTTCTGGGGAAAAACCTAAACTGCGTAAATAACCAAAACCACATAGCTTTAGCCACCAAGGAAATGTCTTTCATACTTAAATGTTTCCCTTTTTCTCTAACCACCAAGCTATCAAAATAATTATTTTAGAACAGCTATGACATCAGATATAAATGAAGGTTTATCTCCATTTCAAGCAATGGTTAGAACAAACTTTGTCCCCCACGCAAGCTGTATTTGGTGATCAGATGCCTTGATAAATCATTTCCCGCCAATTTTACATTTCTGTTCAAAGGTTTGAGGTCAGTAAGAATATTTAAAGAAATTAATAATTTTATTCTGAAGGATCACGTGACACTAAAGACAGGGGTAATTCAGCTTTGCCATCACAGGAATAAAATACAATTTACAATATATCAAAATAGAAAACATTTATTTTAAATTGTAATAATATTTAACAATATTACAATACAATATTACTGTATTTTGATCAAATAAAGGCAGCCTGGGTGAGCATAAGAGACTTCATTGAAAAACATCTTATTAACCCCAAACTTTCCAATGGCAGTTTGTGTGTACAAAAGTCTCCAAATGGACAATTTTTGCATTTTACATTTACTACAGAAATTTCAAAATAGTATTATATTTTCATGACTCTTTTCCTGGCTGTAGAAAAAAAAGAAAAAAAAAAAAGAAGATATTTCCAGGTTTTCACATGAATGTAGATATGTACAATCGTGATGTGCTAACATGCATTTCTATCTACTTACTAGTGAGATTTGAGTGATTGGTATTTAACATGTTGGAATCAGTTTACACCTGTATTTAGCACCGGCCATTTGTCACTCGATCCCCTGAGACAGATGTTAATACCACGTGTGAATGACGGCAAAACGCATGACAAGAGGACAACAAAAGCAGGCTCTAATACTTGCGCTCCCCCCTGCAGGTCTTTGGTCATGAGACAGCATGCATTAGTGAACTCTGGGGTGAGACAACACTCCACAGCAGGCTTCTGGCTCTCATTAGTTTTGTTACACAGTCTGCTAGCATTATCCGAACACCCGACAATCAGTCCTCCACCACCACTGTTGTCCAGCACACACGTCCTGTGTGGGAGTTTCAAGGTCTGCTGGCTCACATTTCTGCTGCGAGCTTAACGGGTCTAACAAATCCTTGTGTAATGAACACTATTTCAGCTGCCAGCAAAGCTCTGTCCACAGAAGAAACACTGAATTGGTCAACCTGATGAGATCATCTATCACATGATCAAACTCCACTATTTGGTGTCATTCTTTTTGCCCACTGCGGTGCCAACATTGGGCACAGCGGGCTGTTGTTAGTGGCCAGGCAGCACGCTGAAGCATGCAACACACGTTGGCACTGATACCTGGACCCAAACTGAACCCCTGAAAAATCCTCATCTTCCTCTTCCTCCAGCTCTTCATCACTGCTGTCCTGAGGCAAGTCGGACAGGCCGAAGAAGAGGGAGAAAGGGCTGGTGTGGCCGCGGTGTGTGAATGGAAGCAGACAGACAGACTGAATGAAAAATTAAAGACTACAAAGATGCAACTTCACATCTAACAGGGTAAGAAAGGTACCTAGACGGCATCCGGGCAGCTAGCGCAGTCCTTCTGGCCATAGTGCTGGGGGAGCCGGGGAGGATGGGGAAAGGCATGGAGGAGTTGGTGCTATGGTGTCTGGGGGAAGGGCTGGAGGGTATACCTGAAGTTGTAGGGGCTGTAAGCATACCAGATGGAGTAGATCTGTGGCTTGGGTTTATGGGGATGGACGAGCTAAGGGAGTAGGGCCTGTATCTCTGGGAGATGGGCAGAGGGGTGGATGGAGAGGGAGGTGGAAGGCTGGCGGGAGGGCGAGAGACAGGAGGACTGGGGGGACCCGGGAGGGCGGCTGCAGGAGCCAGTGGGACAGATGGAGCACTCATTCTGGCAGAGCTCAGAGCAAGTGGGTTTGGGCTACAACCGTAAAGACTGAAAACAACAAAGACACTGATGAAAATGAAGGCGGAAACACAGACGACGGAGGAAATTTAAAGAGAATTCAAGAATGTGAGACAAAGGGGTGTAGGTGGATATGTGCACCGGCGGCCAAAAGTTTGGAATTATTAAGATTTTTTTTTTAATGTTTTTGAAAGAAGTCTCTTCTGCCCACCAAGGCTGAATGTTTAGTTAAAAATAGAGTACAAACAGTAATACTGTGAAATATTACAACAATTTAAAATACATTTATTTAAAAAAACAGTTACTGTATTTAACTGTAAAATAACTTTTAAAATTGTATTACGTTCTGTGATGGCAAAGCTAATTTTTAGCAGAATATGGTGCTCAAGAAACATTTCTAATTTTTATCAATGCTGAAAAAACAATGCTGTTTTTGCTGTTTAACATTTTTATTGAAATTGTGATACACTACAATTCAAGAGAAAAATAAGACCAATTATAACTGAGCACTAAATCAGCATATTAGAATGATTTCTGAAGGATCAACTGAAGACTGGAGTAGCTTTCTTGCTGAAAATTCAGCTTTGCCATCACTGGAATAAATTACATTTTACAATATATTTAAATATATTTAAAAAAAAAAGTATTTTAAATTGTATTATCGCACAATTTTTCTGTTTTTACTGTATATTTTAAAATACATTCAAATAAATGCACCCTTGGTGAGCATAAGAGACTTCTTTCAAAAACATTTAAAAATCTTAATTAGTCCAAACTTTTGGCCGCCAGTGTAGGTGGCTACATAATTCCTTTTAAAAGGAGATGTTGTCAGCTATCATACTTGCCTGGAAAGAGAGCTGGCACCGAATGAACCAGTGCAGGGCATCATGGGACTGCCGCTCTGGCTGGAGGGTGGGACGAGAGTCAGGTGACGGTCCGGGGATCTGGCAGCGGTAATTGGCTGAGATGTGGCGGTCAAGCTGGCGAATGGGTTACAGTCACGCGAACGGGTGGACATCATGAGAGCCTCCATTAAAATCTGTCCAATCAGGTCTCTGAAGTCAGAGTAAACTAGAAGAAGAAAGCACAATGCAATTCAATTACAGAGAAATCAGAATTCTCTTTTACACCCTCTGTTGCTTTTAGTCCATACCATCCCTAGGATTCTTCTGGAATTCAGCAGCAAGTGAGGGGAGAAAGATGACATCACGGTCCTGCTCCTTCCAGGAAACACGCAAGATCTTACAGATAAGGTGCGAAGCCTGCTCTTCAGAGACGTCAGAACTGGATGAGGAATCCTGCAGGTATTAATCCAGCACGTCACTTACAAATACTTGATTAGTGGTTCTCAAACTTTGTGACCCCCCCAACACACACACACACACACACACAGACAGTCCAACACATTGTTTATTGGTATCAGCCGATACTGGATATTGTAAAAATAGAGAAAATGGTCATGCACTTGTAGATTACCTTTGCTATCATCTAAGACTCAAGTGCATTATTAAAAACACCAATACCAATAATATGCCACTTATCAGTTATCGGCCATAAAATGAAAATAATGATCTTTTTATTGGTGCATCTGGTTACCTTTTCAGCCAGGGTCCTTTTCTCTCTGCGATCACTGTCTTCCACCTCCATATTCTCAATTCCTGAGTCCACATCTACTTGGGACATGCTGAAGACCACAAAGATGAGATCTAGCTCAAGTAGCAGTTCAACTCTTTAATTGTCAAACAATATAACTTTAGTACTGCATGTTATAAAAGTACAATGGAAGATCCAAAAACGAGGTACCTAAAGATAGAGAGGGTTATCTTAATATATAAACTTCCAGCTGTATGTATTTATCTTTATATGCACTTCAGGATTTATGTGGCTGGAGTACAAAAGCATTTGCAATCTAACAGTAGAGAGATTCTGCAGCTTAAAGAGACTATTTAAAGTGAGATACAATACTTCATCTCCAGCACAATCTCAGTTTGAGCGCTTACATCAAGCTCTATCTTTGATAAGGAGTTCAGAGAGGACAAAGGTTTGCAGCTGTCTCTCACCTCTTTTCGCAGGACGCTGTGTCAATGTCCATGCTCTGCGAGCGGGACAGGGATTGGGACTGTGTCTCCAGACTGTTAGATGGAGAGCTGGAGAGAGAGCTGACCCCCTCGCTGCTCTGGCTGCGGTAAGCAACCCCTACAGTAATGGAAAGCACAAAAGGAAGTACTGTATTCATCTCCAGCACAATCTCAGTTTGAGCGCTTACATCAAGCTCTAAATTTGATAAGGAGTTCAGAGAGGACAAAGGTTCGCAGCTGTCTCTCACCTCTTCTCGCAGGAGGCTGTGTCAATGTCCATGCTCTGCGAGCGGGACAGGGATTGGGACTGTGTCTCCAGACTGTTAGATGGAGAGCTGGAGAGAGAGCTGACCCCCTCGCTGCTCTGGCTGCGGTAAGCAACCCCTACGGTAATGGAAAGCACAAAAGGAAGTACTGTGTTTGAGTACGAACCTGCTGATTGTGTCATGGAAAAAATTGTGTAAGCCTTAATGAAGCTCAAGGAAATCTTTCAAAAACTTTCATGGCTGGAAAACAAACCGCATAGTTAAAGTTTAACTAAAGAACATTAATTTTGAACAATCAAAAATTCTATTTCCTCCAATGAAAATGGCTCTCTAAATCTTCCAAGGTTTACAAAGGTCTCAAGGTCTCTCAACTGAAAAACTGGACTCTTTTATCTAGAAAACAAGCATAGAGTCAGAGAAAAAAAAACTAAACCTGCATCAGCAATTCTTGAAGCACATACCAGTGCAGCACAGTGATTCAATGTAAATTTTAAAACAATATATCAATTAAATTAAACAGGGATGTTGTTAGGATCTTTATTGTTTTCATTTAGAATTGTAATGTTTTTATTTGGTAATAATAATAATAATACTAGTTCATTGGCTTATTGGTAAATAATCACAATATTCTGGCCAAATTGTGCTGCCCTAAAACAAGCACAGCAAACATTAATGTTTTATTTTAGCAAATTTTAAATCTAAATCACAAATTTTATCAGAAAAAAACTAATGCAATTAAGATTTTTTTCACCAACTCATGCAACCCTTTTACATGGGCAAAATCAACTCATTTCAACTAGAATTCACACTCAAGAATTTCACGTGAGGACAGATTTCCTCAGATAGCCTTTGCAGCACCTTCGGGGGTTGGTCATGTGAATTTGCTGTGTTGACCAAGAGAAAGCTGCTTGGTTTAAAAGTGACTTCTGTTTTAGCTGTGATTCATACATTGCTACACTATTAACAATGACCTTTTTTTGGTCTGCGAATTTTCCCTAAAATTTCACTTATCTGACCGCACCTTAAATGTGCCTTCCGTTCAATTAAATTTCAATGCAAGAACATGCCCTGTGTAAATGGACTGACACCAGTTTGTGGCGTTAATGTGAGAAAAAGAAATGGTTAAAGAAATAAAGGCACAAACATAATTACATCTTAATTAGAATTGGCCATCTTTTTTTACATATATTTGCATATTAAATTACTACATTGACAACATTATTAATGTTTGTTACATTTATAATGCTGGAAATTGCCAAAATAAGACAAAGGGAGATTTTCAAAATTGCATTTGAGATTTCTTTAGAAATATAATGTTTACAAAACAAATCAGCCAAGACTAAAATTAATAAAATAAATTAACTGCATTCATTTAATACTTTGAGTTAGAAGTTAAAAACAAACCTAACCAGAACATTTAAAGGATATTAATAGAGGAGTGAATGCACTGGACCTGGTTTCTGTCTGATGATTGATTACATCTCAATGCTGTACGTTCCAGAAAGGAGCTACAACAAAGAGCAGACTTGTGCTAGAACAGCTTTTTCACGTAACTGTGGATATTATGTGTTTAAAGACATGGAATAATGTGTGTCAGTGGACACAGGACATTGTTGTTTCCAATGACGACAACACACCAGCTCAAAACACTTATTCAATAAATGCAGTTTTCGGTTTCGCAAGACTCCGAGGTAATTAAGCATGCAATCATAAAGACTTTAATTGAAATGCTTTTTAAATGAACAGCAGATCAGTACCAAAAGCCAAAAAGGAAAAACAAGCAAAACTTGTTTTGATCTAATGTGTGATAATCAAAAATGAATGCACTGGAGAATAAAAAACAAATTGGCATAACCCAAAATCAGCCAATACAGCTTAATTTGAACACAATGTTTTCTGTCTCAATACATAATACAGCCTGAAATTAAACTACAGAGGAACTTTACCACATGGCACACTGACATTTAACAAAAAAAGGGACTACGGCACCACAAGAACAAAACAGAGTCATCAGCCTTGCCTGCCCATGTGGCCTTATTTAAACCCTGGCCAAGGCTGTGCTACCTCCATGACAATTGTGCAATTTCTCCACAACAAGATGCTGCAAGCCAAAAATCACTTACCTTGATATCAACACTGATCAAAATTTTTTTAAAACAGGCCATTTGAAATGCTTTTTAAATGAACAGCAGATCAGTACCAAAAGCCAAAAAGGAAAAACAAGCAAAACTTGTTTTGATCTAATGTGTGATAATCAAAAATGAATGCACTGGAGAATAAAAAACAAATTGGCATCATCCAAAATCAGCCAATACAGCTTAATTTGAACACAATGTTTTCTGTCTCAATACATAATACAGCCTGAAATTAAACTACAGAGGAACTTTACCACATGGCACACTGACATTTAACAAAAAAAGGGACTACGGCACCACAAGAACAAAACAGAGTCATCAGCCTTGCCTGCCCATGTGGCCTTATTTAAACCCTGGCCAAGGCTGTGCTACCTCCATGACAATTGTGCAATTTCTCCACAACAAGATGCTGCAAGCCAAAAATCACTTACCTTGATATCAACACTGATCAAAAAATCTTTAAAACAGGCCATTGATTAACTCATTAGTGTAGTACAAACAGCTAAAGCTATAGTACTTGAGCATTAAGGCTTCATCCACACAGGATTACAAATAGGCCACTTAGACCCTCAATACTATTACATTGGTCATTTTATCCTCAACATTTTATACTAAGACAAGATTACAGTCATAGTAAAATGTAATAACAATGAATCTACAGTAGGACTTCAGATACAACTCGCATCCGTCAGCTCAAATGCAAAATGTGTCCCTAAAATACCCAACATTTACAATTAATAACATTGAAATGAACGAATAACATTGAAATTAATTGTATAATGATAACTCTGCATAAAACAGAATTTATTGATCCAGTCAGGTGCAATACAAAAACCATGTTTTATGCCTTAAAAATTCCCCTGAACAGAAAGGCTGTATCTGAAAGCAAACAATCTGCTTTGCATTTTTAAAAATGAAAATAAGGGAAAACCCCATGTTCTGAAAGCAAGTCTATAACATTTTATTTTCTCAAATATAGGCTACATTAGCATTCAAAAGTTTAGGGTCAAAAATAATGTTTTTATGTCAGCAATAATGCCATTTTATCATCAAAAATACATTTAAAACAGTAAAATTGTGCTGCATTATTACATTGTAAATAATTGTTTTATTAACTGTACTATTTTAATAAAGCTGAATTTTCAGCAGCCATTACTCCAGTCATCAGTGTCACAAGATCCTTCAGAAATCATTCTAATATGCTGATTT